GGAGGGTCAGAGAAAAAGAGGAAGACCCCCAAGGAGATGGATTGGCCAAGTAGCAGCATCGATAGACTCAAGCGTGGCAACGGTAGTGAGGTTGGCCCAGGATCAGGCAGTGTTTCGTTCTGCTGTGCATAGGGTCGCTATGGGTCGGTACCGACTCAATGGCCCTAACAACAACAAATGCTGAGGTATAACTCATAATGAAGGCTGGATTCATATTTAAATGTGCTGATTTTCAGTCAAGCCAATAGAGTTTTGTTGTCAAAGCTTAAAACAACAAAGGGAAAGGGGGATGCAATTCTAGATAGAAGTACAGCTGACCTTATGTTAATCATTTGCAAACTGCAGTTTGGAATCAAAGTCATCAACTGAGATAAGAAGAGTATGTTCTCAATAGTGTTATGTCAGGCCTAACTCCAACTCAGTGTAGATGCCAGTGCCCCAGTTCACCTGCAAAATAACTAAAACCTGTGACTTTGATCAAAGCAGTGTCCACAGAGTCAGAGTCCCTGTAACACTGCTAAACTAAACAAAACAAAACAGTGGTTCATGTTCTCATTTCCCAGATCATGTTCCAGTACAATAAAGTCTAACTATGCCATTCACATGAAAAGCAAATTAACACTCTTTGTAGTAAGAAAGAATTTAATTTACTCAAAAGCAGGAACAGGTTTTAATAATGCAACACACGTTTAGAAATATAGAATTTATTTATATTCACCATAAGACAGTTTCACATTCTGTACATGGTTACCAGAGATACATAATACTCTCAGAGTTTAGGATGACATTATATTGCTATCAACATTGCTGTGAGTCAGGAAATACTTATTTCTCCCTTTAAAAAAATTTAAGGCTCAGATTACAAAAGGTAATTTTATCATTTGTTTTTCTGTTGAAGAGACTGGCAAAATTCCTGAACAAACTACAAAGAGATGGTTGAGGGAGAGGCCATGCAAAACACATTCATTCATACTCCCACTGAAGACGTTCAACGTGATTTATTGTTAAAGGCTTCTCCTATTTAAAAACGTGTTTGGTTACTCTCCAAAATAAGTAGATGTGAGGAAAACTAGGTATAGATCTAAGAAATTTAGTTGCTGTCTAGAAAGTGTTTATCACCAGTTGCTATATAAAATGTGTTTATTTGTGTATTACCTTCATATAAATTCACATACATACTTCAACTCACTTTTCTTTGGTGAAGCTTACCAAACAGTATTTCCCTTGCAACACACTAGCAAAAATATTTACATTTCTTTCAACTTTCAGATCAGGTGGTCTCCAGATCATCATTGCTCCTAAATACAATTCTCTATAGTTCCTTTTAACCTTGTAGTAGACTATAAGAGCAACCTTACAATAGAGCATAACTCCAACTGGTGTGTCACTCCACTGCTTTCATGATCTAAGGGAATATGGAGAAAGGAGTGGAAAAGCTAATTATCGAAAGAGAGTTTGGGTTTTTTTTGTTGTTGCTTTTTTAGAATGACCATTATTCTTAATGAGATCCAAACACTTTTTAGAAACACTTTCCTGTACAAATAGTCCATTCAGTTAACAGTGACTCATCATTTTGCAAAAGTCAGAATCCATTTTAACCCAGTAAAGTGTCTTACAATGCATGGGGCTGATGCTATAACATCAAAAACCCTAACGGGCACCTGTGGGTTTTGCCTCAGCACAGAGAGGTAGAAACAATCATCCTGTAGAAAATATTAATGCTAAAAATAAAACAGAAACCATAAAACAAAACACCCCCCCCCCACCCCAAACACAACAAAAAAACAAAAAAAAAAACAAAACACCCCCCCCCCACCCCAAACACAACAAAAAAACAAAAAAAAAAACAAAACACCCCCCCCCCAAAAAAAAACAAAACAAAACAAAAAAACACACACAACAAAACATTCCATTTCTAAGAACCAGCTCTGAGAAACCAAATTTTATCTACAGGTTGGTGTTCAGTCCAATTGGGAGTTGAGAGATCCATTGCCCACAATCATCTTGCTGTAATTCTTCTGCTGCTCTTCCTTAAAGGTGTCCTTCACCTTTGCTCTCTTCAGCCCTCCATCCCTGAGAATGAGAAGACAAATATATGAAAGATTCTCCCCAGCAATGGTTTAAAAGGGTTACAAATGAATATAGGCTACATGGAGACATGACATCACAGAGCAAAGAACACTGGATTTAGAGGCAGACTAGCTCATATTCACACTTACCAGTGTGTGACTTTGAAGAAGTAGCAACCTTTCTGATCCTTAGTTAAAATAATGATATTTCTACTCAGTCTATTTTCAGAAGTTGAATTAGTCAATTCTAACTCCTGGCCACTCCATGTGTGGTAGAGCAGAACTGTGTTCCTGACATTTTCAATGACGGATTTTTCAAAGTGTACATCCAGGCCTTTTTTCCAAGGTGACTGGGTAGACTCAAACCTCCAACCTTCAGTGAGCAGTTAGGCACGTTAGCCATTTGCACTACCCAGAGTCTTGGTGCAATAATCTCAGAAGTTACAATTACTGTATTGTATACTTGAACATTTTGTTAAAATTAGGACTGTTTCCCTATATATTTTAGTTATGAAAGAAAAGTGTTAAATTTTCATTTACCTAATCTTACTGGAAAACCATATAGAAAACTGAAACTACATACATAAGAAATGACAGAGATAATTTTCTTAAAGATGAATCGGTTAACCATTATTCTACTGTAATCATATCTATCATAGGTTGTGTTTTCATTCAAAACACTATGTTTCAGGTGCTTATAATCTTCCTTAGTACAAAAAAGAGTTTGATTTACAGAATAAATCAAACAACAAAACCATAAACTCCATTCAACCAGCAGTTAGAGCTATATAAGCTGTATTCCTTAATTCAGAAGCTACAAATCCTAGAACTCTCTCCAGGGTGGTGAAAACACTAACCTGCGTCAGTTGTAAGGACTCTACATGCCTTCCCTTTTTGGGGCTACATAAGGAAACAACACACTGGAAGAACTAGGAAGAGACTGGGCTAACCTAATGTTTCAGATTTTAATTCCTAGGGGAGGGTGAACTGAAATCCTGCTTACTTTATACTGTGCCTGTTTAATTTTAACCCAGTTAAGCATGACTGTTGACCAAGTGCTCCCTGATAATGGTGAATAGGTCATAGTTTAGACAGTGAACTCAGTCCATGAAACCACAACTTGACCTATATCCTGGTATCTGCCTGTGACTACTACAATGTTCTGACACCTAGAATCAAATCCAAGCTAGAGCTCACTAGGAAATCCTCATCTTAAAATTTAGCCTGTGGTTACATTTTCCAGTTTTCAGGAATCAAGATTACAAATTGTGATTAACAACAACCAGTTGTCATTAAGTCATGGTAATCCAATCCTATTCCATAGGATTTTCTTGATGCCCCTTAGGTGGACTTCAACTACTAACCTTTTGTTTAACAGCCTAGCACATTAACTCTTAGTTGTTGTTGTTTGGTGTGGTTGAGTCAGTTCTGAATCAGAGGAACTTTGTGTAGGGTTTCAGAGGCTGTAAATCTCTATAGGAGTAAACAGCTTCCACTTTCTCCCACAGAGAGCTAGTGGGTTTGAACTGCCAATCTTGTGGTTAGAAATCCAGTGTTTATCCTATAGAGCCGCTAGCACTCCCTGTGAAGATTTTTAACTCTTAGTGTTATTGTTGTTGTTGTTGTTATGTGCCATCCAGTCGGTACTGACTCATATCCTCTGCACAGCAGAACAAAACACTGCCCGATCCTGGGCCAGCCTCACTATTGTGGCCACGCTTGAACCCACTGGTGTTGCCACTTGGCCAATCCATCTCATGGGGGGTCTCCCTCTTTTTCTCTGACCCTCCACCTTACCAAACATGATATCCTTCTCCAGTGACGGGCCCCTCCTGACGATATGTCCAAAGTATGAGAGGCGAAGTTTGGCCATCATGCCCTCCAAGGAGCACTCTACTCTGGCTGCACTTCTCAGGAATTCCAAAAATTCTGACTCAGAGTGAGCCCAGGTGTGGCACTGTGGGACAAGCACTGGGCTGCTAATCACAAGGTGTGCAATTCAAGCTCATCAGCTGCTCTTGGAAAACCTCCACAGGGTCGCTCTGAGTCAAACTGACTCAACACCTCACAACAACAGGAAAGAGGAGAGTTGCCTCAGAGGGTTTCTAAGGCAGCACTGTAGGATAAGCATAAGACTGCTAACCACAAGGATGGTAGTTCAAATGCACCAGCCACTTTGAGGAAGGAAGAGGAGGCTTTCTGTTCCCGCAAAGATTGACAGTTTCAGTAATCCTATACAGGGTTGCTATTAGTTGGAATCGACTCACCGGCAGTAGTTTTCCTCTTTAAGGAGCAGACTGTAACATCCTGTGAAGTGCCTGGTGGGTTCAAACTGCCAACCTTGTGGTAGGCAGCCAAGCACTTAACTACTCTATGATTGTTGTTGTTGTGAAGCACCATTGAGTCAATTCTGACTCATAGTGACCCTGTACAGGGTTTCCAAGGAGCAGCTGGTGGATTTGAACCACCAACCTTGTAGTCAACCTGACCTTGCAGTCCAGCATGTTAGGTTCTAGGAATTGTCCATAAAAGCCTCACTTAGCCTCTAAATGATTCTAAATGATGGACTCCTGGTGTGGCACTATAGGATAAGCACCGGACTGTGAACCACAAGGTCAGTGGTTCAAACCCACCAGTCACTCCTCAGAAACACTATACAGGGTCACTATGAGTCGGAACCAATTGATGACACTTAACAACAACAAATGATTCATAACATTTATCTGAATACCGAATCTCAAGAACTAAGGAAGGCAGTGAGAGACAAGATGGGCCTTTTTTCCTCTTCTGACATCCAGGCCCAAGACACTACAAAATGTTGGAATTAGCAGTGTTTATCTTTGAGCATCTGGACATCAGTTTTGAATCATTCTCCTTTTCAAAAACCCTGTAAGTTTCCTTGTGGCATAATGGGTTAAGCGCTGGGGTGCTAACCAAAAGGTTGAGGATTGGAACCCACTCTGTGGAAGAAAATGAGGTAGTCTACTAGTGTGGCACTATGGGTTAATGCACTGGACTGCAAAGTCATTTGAACAAGGTCAGTGGTTCAAGCTCACCAGCTGCTCCTTGGAAACCCTAAAAAGAGTTGCTATGGATCAGAACCGACTCGATGGCACTTCACAACAGCAACAACTTCCATAAAGATGTACAGCCTGGGAAACTCTATAGAGCAGTTCTACTCTGTTCTGTATTGTCTCTATGAGTTGGAATTGACTCAAAATGGGTAAACACTCAGTTGACCGCCTGCTACTCTAAGACCTCCAATTGTCACAGTAGCCCCTAAAGACTACAAAGTTCCCCAATTAGTCACCCCTTATTTTTTTTTAAGCTTTTATTGTGAATTGAGTGATTTGCATGGTAAAACATCAGTTTTGCACTCATCTTATTGTATTTCATTTCATTGCAATGATTACAATCCCCTCCATGCATTACCATTCAACAGTACTTGCTTCTAGTCCCTCTGTTTTGTTTTTTCTGTGTGTGGAAAAACACTCAGGAATATATCATCATTTAAACAACCCAAGCCTGCCTCCTGGCCACCAGCACACAGCTTTTCTCTTTCCATGAGTCTAAAGTCTTTAGCTGCTCTATCTCTCCATGTCATCGTCTCTGTCTCTATCTCTGTTGTTGCTGCTTGTTATGGTAGGTCCCACATTGCACTCATGCTCTTCTCCCTTGATGGTCCTAGGGTCCTCTGTTCCTGGAAGGTAAGATTAACTACTCCCTCTTTATGTTACAAAATTTCTGCCTTTACAGTTGTGACCATCGCAATTAGTCATGATAACAATTACTCACTATTGGATCATAAGAATCTTATCCGCATCAAGATAAAACAAGACAAGATAAAAACTATTCTACCTTCCCCCCCAAACTCCCCTTTGCAATAGAGACACATCTTGGCACTTTAGGGGTGTGCAGTCTAAGACCTTACAATTACAATCTTATTTGATCTAGACATGTTAATTCTTATCCAATGGGTAAATGACAAATCTATCTAGATGAGTAGGTACCTTTCCAGATATATTTACCTAGCCACATGGCCACCCAGAAAAGGATTACATTCCCCAGACTTCATAGCTAGTTATTACCACATGACTTATAGTAGTCAATGGATATAACTAGAGATAGCATGTCCAACTTCCAGTATGTGCTCTTAAAGAGATGAGTGTGTCCTTCTTGCACATAATGGGTAAAGTTGGATCATCTAGAACCAGGAAGTAGAAACACGTGTTAAGGATAGCGGAGCAACAGAGAATGAACTGTTAGACAAGCCTTGACTGATCATGCTTAAAGAGAGATAAGCTTCTGTCATATTCAAGTCAGTACTATTTTATATAAGCCACTGTAACCTCAAAGCTAACTAGCACAATAGACAGCATTATTAAAGGTGATTTTATTTTTTATTAAAAATAAAAGTGATAGCTGTTGCATGGAGGGGATTGCAATCGTTGAGATGAAACTAAGTGTAGAATTCGTTATGTGTAAAACCAATGATCTTATCTGCAAACCTTCATTCAATTCACACACACAAAAAAAAGTGATCGTACTGAAAAATTTCTTACCAAGAAAGCTCCGTCAATCCTCCTTGTATGGCAATTGCAGACTTAACCCTATTAGCAAACTGGACTGCATCTTCCCCTTCCTGCAAAATAATAATAATAATTAAAATTGCAAGTACATCTTGGGTATAGAGTTTATAAATAATACCTTAAAATACCTTTTATTATTTATATTTGTTTTAAAACGTAAGATTCAAAATTTACCACAAATATTTTCTATCCCAGGTCAACCTTGGCAAATATGACTTACTCTATTAAGCAAGTATACAGCTGTATTGTTGATTTTTTTCCCCCATTGTTCATTAGTCTTCTACAAGATAAAACATTCCATAATACCTGTAGTGTCAGTGAACCCAGAGCAAATACAAAAACTATTATGGAACAGTTTCTGAATATAAAATGGCTTGAGTACTAAGTACATTACTGGAGTCCCTGGGAGGTACAAACACTTAACATGCTCAAATTGTTAAACAAAAGGTTGAAGGGTCAAGTCTGCCCAAAGGTACCTTAGAAGAAAAGCCTGACAATGTACTTTAAAAAAGTCAACCACTGAAAACACTGTAGAGCATAGTTCAACTCTGACACACATGTAGTTGCCATGAGTCAGAATCAACCCAAGGGAAACTGATAAAAGCATTATTTAAAAAATTACTCCCTTCTGAGAAAGTAGAAGGCCATCCAACAAGGGATACACCCAGGTTTTCAGGTAAATGTTTTCTTGACCGTTCTCTGATAAGATAAAGTACAAAGACCTGTTGTTATCTATGGAATACCTCTCGGATCATCGGGGGCATGTACCACACATCGCACACAATAGCCCAGCTGGTCATCATTCGAAGCAGATAGCTCACCATGTTGTATTTACTACTGTTCCAAAAGGCATCACCAAACTGAGGGTTATACTGAGAAAAAGAAGGGGAAAAAAAATATCCCAGTTACAAACTCAGAAGCGACTTCTTTTATTCATGTTCATTGTTGTTGTCTTTGTTAAGCGCCCTTGAGTCAGTTCCAACTCATAGTAACCCTGGATAGGGTTTCCAAGGAGTGGTTGGGGAGTGTAGCATTGTTGTTGAGTGCCATCTAGTCAGTTCCAACTCATAGCAATCCTGTATAGGGTTTCTGAGGAGCGACTGGTGGGCTTGAACCACTAACTCTGCAGCTCAAACTGACCTTGTAGTCCAGTGCATTAACTAACAGCAGCACACCAGGAGTGTAACATTAGAACCCAAGAAAAATAGGTGGTACTTCACTTCATAGAAATGATCCAAAAAACAAATGAGCCAGCTAATTCCTCTAACTAGAGTAGACTGCTTTCACAACTAGAACCCCAAAGCACTGGTCATAGTTGTAACAACAGGGTTAAATATATGACTATTGATATTTGTCTCCTTGCCTAACTGGAAGGTCCATGAATGTAGGAACTATATATCTGTTTTGCCTATCACTATATCTTCAGCACTTAATATAATGCCTGGCACACAATCACACAGTACCTATCTGATTACTCAGGGCTTCAAAAAGTTTCATGGAAAAATCCATTATCTTTTCATTCCATTTTTTCAGAAACTGTTTTTGAAGCCCTCTCATACATATACATAAGGAGCTCTGGTAGCATAGTGGTTACAAATTGGGCTGCGAAACTCAAGATCAGCAGTTTGAAACTACCAGCTGTTCCATGGGAGAAAGATGAGGCTTTCTGCTCCCGTAAAGATTTATAGCCTCAGAAACCCTGTACAGGGTCGCTATGAGTCAGAACTGACTCCACAGCATATAACAACAACAACAACATACGTATACATACACACACATACATACAGAATGATACAGCAAATGGGGCAGGATATTAAATAATTGGTGAATGTGAGTAAAGTATGCAAAAGTGTTCCTTATATTATTCTCACAACTTTACCTTTATTGCAACTGGATAGATGGTTCCTCCAATTTCAAAACTTCCCTTTTTAAACATCATGACTGAAGTATTGTTGATGCAAGTTCCTGAAAATATTTTGGGGTTCGGGAGTACAAGGAGAGTATTTTGAAAGATAGCTATTTTATAAACACATTTTAAAAGAATTACTTTGATAAAAAATTGCTTTAAATATTCAAATCATATCAGATTTACAGGCATTTGGCTGCTATTTCTGTCCCCATTTAAATAGCAATCCAAATTAATCCCTGTTTTAGTAGTAATCTAACACATCTAAGCAGGTTTAAAAGCAAAGCCTTACTTTACTGTTGAATACTCTAAAGGTATAACTTCTTCACAACAGGCCACAATTTCATAACATTAAAGTAAGAACTTTTAAAAAATTACGGACAATACCATTTAATGCTCCTTACCCAGAAATATGAAGAAAATGAAAACAAATCTACGAGAGCCAAAATATGATCTTGAATTTATCCCTCCTGAATTTAGAGATCATCTGAAGAACAGATTTGATGAATTGGACAATAAAGACCGAAGACCAGAAGAGTTGTGGGATGACATCAAGAA